TGAGAGTTTCTGATATTATCACGAAATTGCCCTGAGAGACTGAGCGCGAGCTCATGAAGCTCCGCCCCCTGTGCCGGCAGCAGCAGCTCATTTGCATTTAAAGGGCCCACACTAAAACAGCGCGTTTTTCTGAGCTCCAAAAAATGACAATTTAAACATGCTGTACACAACATGACATCATGACTTTTGCGTAAACATACACGCCACTTTCGAGTCAAGTGGCGTGTTATCTCTATGCATTTTGAGCTATCCGCGTGTATCCGCGTATGTCTACGCCATTAACATCCGAGTGATTCCGTGTGTCTGTACACGCCGTTAAATGTCCGAGCGAAACGAAGCAAAATGTAGATCTACATCTGGGGAGCTATGTTTTTTTTTTCCTAGGATGGTAAGGGAACAGTCATAAATGCCATTAACCCCAGTGACGGTTAGATTTAGGGACGGGGTTGAGGTAAGTCATATATTTATATATACAGTAATAACGTTAAGTCAACGGCGTTCATAAACACGCTGAAAAGCGATTATGCGTCTTGATAGCACGCCAAAAATGGAAATACGAATTGGCGTGTCATACACACGCTACTTCATGAGATCAGTCTGCTGTACAAAATGATCTGTTGGGTATTTTGAGCTGAAACTTCACATACACATTCTGGGGATTTCAGAAACTTATTTTACATCTTGAGAAAAGGGGCATAATACGGTACCTTTAAAGCACGTTTTCCAAAGTTTGTGTTTTAATGCCTCTAAAAAATCCCAGAAAATATGAAAATCGCATACATTAGAGCTTGGTGCGTAGGCTAAGTTGCAGAATTTCAAAATTGGTGGCCAACCTAAAATTGGGTTTTCTTGAATCTTGTAAGCACTGTAGCCACTACATTTTAAACCAGCTACAGATAATGCCTGTGTTCTGTGGAGTATCCCAGCCTTTCCCGAACTAACCCCTCTCACATATCCATGGCAACAGAAACAGAAACAGAAATAAAACACAAAAACTGAATCAGTGACGAAACCTGAGCAATCTGAACAACACAAGTAGGCTACGTGTGCAGGCGGGCATGAACAGCCCATGGACATTAATAACGTTAACAAAGATTAATACACAAATGTATTGCTCATTGTCAGTTAAAGTTCATATATTAACTAATGGGACATTATTATTGTAAAGTGTTACCAGATTTGATACTTTTTTCCCTCTGAGGTAAATTATGGCCTGGATGGTTACTTCATAAAGGCTGATTTTGACAGATACTGAATCCTCTTCCACATGTTTCCAGGTGTCTGAGGACAAAACTTTCAAGAATCAAAAGCTTATGGGGAATCTTTCGTCACAGCCATTATTTCCACATGGAGATTCAGTTTTCAGTCTTGTGACTGTTACTAGAGCGAATCAAGATTTCAATCATTCGCTAGTTGCTGAAACGTATTCAAAAGCAGCTCCTAGCCAAAATGCTCAGCATTATATTTCTTGAGAAACCACAGCCAGAGCCAGCTTTATGATTCATCAAAGCCTCGTCTAATTATCTGTTGAGTCAATGGGAAGGGTTTCTGTCCTAAAACTCTGTTTGAATTCAATAACAGTCTAGAACTAACATGATTTATGGCCTGTTATGCTTATTACAGGCAAGTCCTTATGTGAAAGACTCAAACGCATGATCTGGGTCATTGACAAAGAGTGGCCACGATGAAAAAAACAGTAACACATATTGGTTATATATGATTTTAAAAGACTTTTTCAACAAAATTTTACATTTAAATTCCTTACACCTCAAATGTGATTATCTTATTTTTAATTCATATTATCATTACATTTTAAGGGAGTCACACCACATGACATTTTACAACCTATTCATTGTCATAAAAAGATAAATTGTTTTAAGCAACCTTTCAACCTTGACACAAAGTCATAAGGGTCTTCATTTCATCATTTCCTGTTTTATGTACGTGTTGAGTTTGAGACATTACTGCAAAATGGCAACAATTATTCATCTATTAATAATAAGTGGTTTTGTAAACAAAAATAATTATTATGCCAAACTAATTTTCTTTTCAACAATTTCCTTTGTTTGTTTAGGATTTTTTTTTTTTTTACTTTACGAAGAAATTGCTAGTAAATCTCATATATAATTGGAGGTCGACCAGTTGAGGCTGAGAAGACGCTAACATTAGTAGCACCTCAAGCGGGTAAAACAGTGAGACAAAAACACAGCAGCCCAACCCAAATGTTTAATGTCACTATTGTTTCCATCTATTTGCATTAGTTAATATCCGGCTGGTCGCTTTTATGCATTCGCTATGCAGCAAAGTTGCATATTTAATGCTAGAGACGTTAGAAAGCAAACAGTATCGTCATGTAGCCGACAGACACACGTAAACAAATCGGATTTCAGTTCCTTTTTTTCGTCACTTTAATTCATATTTGGTTATTTTGATTAGGATAATCATCAAGTTTTCTAAAATATAAGCAAAAGTGTGAGAGTATACCTCCAATATACATATATGTTTGTGTAGATATGTATAGATGGCCGTCTGAAAGCATGACTTTAGATTTATAGGCCTATTAGGGCTGTGCAAAAATTAATTGCGATTAATCGCATCCAAAATAAAAGTCTGTGTTTACATAATATATTTGTGCGTGCTGTATATAATTATTTTGTATATATAAATACACACACATACATGTATATATTTAAGAAAATGTGTTATTCATGTATAAAATATTCATATTTATATAATTTCAATTATGTATTTATATATATATATATATATAGAATTTAAGCGCAAATAATTCTTAAATATATACATGCATGCATAGGTATTTATATATACAAAATAATTATATACAGCACACACAAATATATTATGTAAACACAGACTTTTATTTTGGATGCGATTAATCGCAATTAATTTTTGCACAGCCCTAATTTATATAAAATGGTAACACTTTACAATACAGTCCAATTGTAACATTAGCTAAGGTTAATAAAAGTATTGTTCATCTGTTGATTTCAGCATTTGCTAATACATTTTTACATTTTAAAGTCATATCTCTTAAAATGTGTTAATGCACTATGAACTAACATGAATGATCAAGGTATTATTAATATATTCATATTGTATACTTAAATATACAGTACATTTTCATAGTTCGGTACTCTTTAAAAAATGTGTAAAAAAGTTCAGCACTATTTTATGTGTTATGTTTGTTTTTATTCTGTATCCACTTTAAAAACGGTCGACGTTGGCCAACCTAGTTATCGTTATCGGTAAAATCCACTATTAGTCGCAAAAAATTTTAAACAGAAAACCTATAATATTATTTCCTGGTAAAATATACTCCAGTGATCTTTGTTTAACATTTTTACAGTGTACACTTTAAAAAAATGCTGGGTTGTTTCAACCCAAATTTGGGTCAAATATGGACAAACCCAAATGCTGGGTTAAAAAAATCCAATAAAAATAAAATTTAAATTACATTTTTAACCCAACATTTGGGTTTGTCCATATTTTACCCAAATTTGGGTTAGAACAACCCAGCATCGTTTAAAGTGTAATTGGATTTTGCTCTTTATTTGCCAAATAAATACTGTTCATCTGTAAATCATTGTGTTAAAAATGAAATGTGACATTTGCTTATTGTGTATGGTAATATTGTTTACATTTTGTGATTTAAGATGTGTACTGTGCCATTACTTAGGCTATATGTGAAAGGACATGTCACCTGGTGGAAGAGCTAAAAACTGTGAAGCACCGATATGTAAATTTAGGCAGATACGATAACCGATACATTTTTATATTTGAAATCCGATAACTGATATATTGCCAGATATAATTTTTGAGAGCCTGTTTATAAAAACAAAAGTTTCACCATTGAAATACATGTCCCAAGCATACAATTATAAAGATGTTCTCATTATCATCATGGAGAAGAGTGTGCATCTATGTATCATCCATAATAGGAAATAGCAAATAATCCTTTATTGATCAGCTTTAATATATCGGCCACATTTTTTAATTGGTCTGATAATAATAAAAAATGAATAAATTGGCCGATATATACCGATATTGGCCGATATATACCGATATTATTGACAGAAGACCCTAGCAACCACGCCATGACATGATCAGATCAACCAGAGTGACTCAGATCTCCAGATTCAGCTCCGCCACGAGGCTACATGAGTAGATGTCGGTGAGCATGTTGTGTAGCAGTGTTTTAGACTGCATTATTGACATGAGGAGTGGCAGTGTATGCACTAAACCTCTTCCTCCACACGTATTAATGCGCTGGGGGCGATGTTAGACACAGTACAAACTGAAAATCTAGGTTTATATTGTAGTTTAAGCCCTAATTTTACATAAGTATTATTGGTAAAACTGAATTATTGGTGTAACCTGTAGTCAGGTCATATATATTTGAAAATGTCTTTATAAAACGAACTAATATAGATGTTATCACATGAGGAAGTATTAAAATACACGCCAAAACATTACAAGCAGCAGAAAATGATGTGTTTGCATGATGATATATAATAGCCATTGCGTGTATAGGGTGTTGTCAGAGACAGTAAACATTAACATTATTGTACTGAGTGCTTAGACTATGAAAGTGTAGTTGTTAGAGTCTGCAATTATAGGCATTAGATCTCCTGTAATACTCTACCAAGTGTTTATGTACTGTAAATGGGGTGTTGTCCTGATGCATGAGACAGTCAGTCCATAGGTCACTGTCTGAGTTTATGACACTGTCCAAATAACCCAACCCAACCCAACCACACACACACTCGACTCGATATTCCTTAAAATAACACACAAAGAGATATAGCTGCTAAACGCGATAAAAAAAATAAAAAAATAAATCCATAGCCCCTCTGCTTACATAACACACACTCATTTAATGTAATCCTACTCTATGGTTACCTCAGATTATTAACACTACAAATAATCGACCTGTGTATACAAAGACAATCTTTGATGCTCATTAACATATCAAAACATACCTGGTTCGATCCCTGCTCCGTTCACTGCGACTGGTGTATTAAATCAAGGCCGAACAAAGAGAAAATACATCACTTCTCCAGAACCGGACTAGGAGAGGTCAGGATCACCGAGAACTGGACCGGCACTGCGCACTTTCTGCGCCTGCGCTTAACCAATCATACTATGGCGAAGGACTAGCTCATTAATATTAATGAGGTGGTGTGAGGGCCCTACTCGATTGGCTGAAAGGCAGCAAGTGGGTGGCACTTCGATTGTTTTGGGCTGTTGGTAGCTGGCGACAGACTTGTTTATGAATATTAATGAGATTTATGAGTGGACATTCCATGAAGATTACCAAGCAACGTCAAAAGGAACAATCAATATTCATAAGTTAGGCCTTGAGAGGAAAAAATCGGATAATTTACTTGATAAATCACGTCGAGCTGGAAATGCAACTCAGTTTAGAATTTCTAGAAAGCAATAATATGAACGAGATTTATGGATGATTGAGATTATTTTATTAACCTATATTCATTACTGAGCGAAAGGTATGTACAAGAATCCTGACAGGAATAATTCTCTCTCGCCATATTTTTTTGAGTGACGGGTGACATCAGATCGGTTTACTTTTGATTTTAATGCCATCTGCTGGCAGAACACAATACAATCCAATATTATAAATATTAACGTAATTAGTGTGTATCAAAAATGTGTACAGTATACTACATGTAATTAAAACATACAATTACATTTTATTAAAGACAAAATATTTCTCTTTTTAAAATAAACATGCCATTTTAGGTCCCTAATTCTATTTATTTATTTTTTTATCCTTTATTTTACCAGGTGATGTCCCATTGAGATAATAAAATCAATCACATAAAAAACAAACAAAAAAAACCATTTACATTTAAAATAATTTAAGAATAACTTTATAATGACTTTTTATTTTCGCTTTTGGATCTGTGTTTTTGTGAAGACTCCTCTGATGTACTGTATTACATGAGAAAGGTTCATTATAATTTTAATTGTGGTGTTACAATTATGGTGCTACGTTTTATAATATTATTATTATTTTTAATCAATTTATGATGTTAACTCGCGATGTTAACTTCACAGAAACAATCCTCAAAACGTATTTGTATCCCTTAAAACTCATGTTTGATCACCAAAATTACATAAACGTATTTTGCTTGGAAAAGGTAATATCAGTAATATCTTGAATGTAACTCGACACCCTTGCCTAATTTAGTATGCGCGGTTCAATGAATATGGAAATGAGCCCCGCCTCCACTCACTCACTCAGTGATCCACTAGTTGACGATCACACGTTGGTCTGATTGGTTACAAGGTCGTCTGTGACGTCAGCAATGCTGTCGACAATGCATTTACACATGGTTTGTTTTAAAGCGTATTAAAAACGCCGCATAAACATATAAACAACATTATATATATATATAAACAACATTAAAAGCTGGATTTCACCACAGGGGGGCATCAACATTTTTACGAAAGGATCAATTATGTATTAGTGATATTAAGATTGACACTTAAATATAAAAAGATCAGACTTTACCATTTAGATCATGTAATGTCTTCTGTCTTAGATGACTATTACGAGACATAACACAACACAGGCATATTTTTTTTTATTATTATTTGTCATTTATTTGCAGTAAGTATTTATCAAATACTGAAAAAAAGTTTTTGTCTGTGCACTCAACAACCAGAACACACTGGTCCACTTTCTTATTTTCATTTACATGTTAATGTCTGAAAACAAAACACAACAGAAAAAGTCTATAAAAGAGTCCAACTCCTTTAAAAAGGGAAATAGAAAAACAAATACTAATAGTAAATGTTAAAAAAAAAAAAATCACAATGCAGCCATGGTTAAAATCATTTTAGTATTCGTATGACAATTCAACCCAGTATAAAGGATATGAAATGGCAGTATACTGTACACACGTTACAGAGAGAAGCGTTCCTCAGTGGTTCGTTCAGAATCAATACTGTCAAACTTAAAAATAAGCTTTGTGCAAATGTCTGCAGTTCTATTTCAAACGGACAGATCAAATCTTAGTGTTTTATCTCAATTTTACAGATTAAAAAAAGAAAAAGCTCCTCATGTTGCCCTAAAAGTAGTGCTTAAAAACAACCCAAGGCCCAGAATGGTTGACCCAACCCCAGCAGACCCGCTCAAACACACACCAGTACAAAAGTAGGTTAAATACACATGAAAGAACAGTAACAGTTCCACTCATAAAACACACCAAAAACTTCTATCTTCTGCACAATGCACACTGTATCGCAGCTTCGCTTGGATAAGAGCAAACTCACCCTTGAAATTAATACTGAAACTCTGAAACACACACACACTCATTTACTCACACACTCTCACACCACACACACATTTACTCACTCTCATACACACACACACTTACTCTCATACACTCACTCAGACATACACAGACACACACACACACAGGTTACGGTGCTATCACTCTCTCTTCGTATGTACAAAGCAGTTTTTGTAAAGGGACTTTCGCAGAGTGAGTGGACATGACGGCTGAAGTTCTGTCATCCCAACAGTCTCTCAGTACGAGCCCTTTCAGCTGGCAAGGACTGGACCCTGCGTTCAACACACACACACACACACACACACACACACACACTCAAAGCAGTGGGAACACGCTCACAAAGATGGCAGGTAGAAATGTAAAAACAGTAAAAAGAGAAAATATCTGCTCAAAGCCCCACAAAGAGGGAATAAAACTATTTAAAGAGCTTTTTAAAGCATTCAACATTTAAAGATCTCCCTTTAGTTCATATTAAATCCACACAAGCTGCCTTCCTTAAACCAATAAACCAAGGCACCCTACTAAGTCCACATGTGTTCCCCTCAACACTCCTCTGATGCTCATCCAGGTCAATTATTGTATGAAATACAACCAGATTCACTCTTCATGTTACCTAATTTAAAGGATGTGCCCTTTATAATTCACAGCTATGCTAAAATCATTCAACGAACAGCAATGTAAACCCATCCCACATGTCCCGTAGCCCCTCCCACATCCTGTAGCCACACCCACATGTTCTGTAGCCACTCCCACATACTGTAGCCCATCCCGTGTGTCCCATAGCCCCTCTCACATGTCCCGTAGCCCATCCCATGCTGTGTAGCCCCTCCTACACTGTGTAGCCCCACCCACATGCCCTGTAGCCACTCCCACATGTCAAGTAGCCCCTCCCACATGCCCTGTAGCCCCTCCCATGTGATGTAGCCCCTCCCATATGCCCTGTAGCCCCTCCCATGCCATGTAGACCCTCCCACATGTCACATAGCCCCACCCACATACCCTGTAGCCACTCCCACATGTCCTGTAGCCCCTCCCATATGCCCTGTAGCCCCTCTCACATGTCATATAGCCCCTCCCACATGTCTAGTAGCCCCTCCCACATGTCCCATAGCCCATCCCACGCTGTGTAGCCCCTCCCACATGCCCTGAAGCCCCTCCCATGCTGTGTAGCCCGTCCCACATGTCCCATAGCCACTCCCACATGTCCCATAGCCCCTCCCACATGCCCTGTAGCCCCTCCCATGTCATGTAGCCCCTCCCACTTGCACTTCAACTCATCCCACTTGTCCTTAAAAGGAACAGTTCAACTCAAAACTGACACAAAATGACTATGTAGACCTGTTCCTCACACAAATCGGTCATGTGACTTTTAAAGTTGAACAAAAAAACATAACCTTTCGGGGCGAACTATTCCTTTAACATCTTCTCCCACTTGTAATTAACACTCCATGAACAAACTCAACACAAACACACTCAAGGAATACAATTTCAGTCAAGCTCACTTCATAAATCCCACCCTATAATATTGTACATAGAACAATTATCAACACAGATAATTTCACAGAAATAATATCAAACTACAACCCAACAAAGTGCTAACAGAAGCTGCCGGTGCGATTCCTACCACAACATGTGCTGCTTTTCTGCACGTAAAACACAGCGTTTGCTTCAAACACACCGATGTTCCTTTCACTGCCAAAGCAACAAAAATGACACGTAACATCACTGACAACATTTCCGTCAAGGACACAGGCTTTCAAATTGACCATTTCCACAGGAAAATCCATTTGTCGGTTCGCTCCGCTCGTTCACACAGCCTTGCTGTATCCGAAGATGCCCACGGGGAAGAGCTTGACGTGAGTCGGCCACTGCGCCGCCAGCTGGAAGAACTTCACGTCGTGCCACTCCACGCCGTCGATCGACACTGAGGACGACAACAACACTTACACACTCACACGCCGCAAATTCAGTAAATTCAAATCTAATGGAAGCTTGTTTCCGCCATGCAGTAAAACATAAAAATTGCAAGTTTTTAATCTCACAATTTGTTCTGTTTTTCTTTTTCACGATATAAAGTCGCAACTATCTTTTACATACTTTTATTTCGAGGAAGAAACAAGTAAGATTTGTGAACTGAATCTCCGAATGTAAAAGATAATTGCGGCTTTATATCATGAAAAAAACAACAACAAAAAAAACAGGAAGAATTGTGAGATTAAAAACTTGCAATTACATTTTTATGTTTTATTGCATGGTGGAAACAAGCTTCCAAACAATTCCAGTGCATTTGGTACAGTACAAAACAAAACAAATTTACAAAACACTTAACAAAACTTTATCAAAATGATCAAGTTTAATGTTTTTTTTTTTTTTATCATTTTTTTGTAAGAAAAATCTTGGCAAAGCTTTAGATTACAGCCCGGAAATTACTACGTAATTAAAATGATTTGGTAATTATAGTGTACCTATAACGTACTTACAATATTAGTATAAAGGAACAATATTTTAGGTTTGGGGAATAAAGCGGAAACAACCAGGAGAATAAAAAAAAATATATTTATACTGTAAGTATTATAGAACTAAGGGGTGCTTATCCTACTATTTATGATATAACAATCTTACATTTGAGAGCAATTTAGCGAGAACAATCACTGCGTACCTTTTTAAATAATGGTGAACCAGTACATACTGTATAGGCTTTTTTAAAAATTACAGGGTACATATCTATGCATTTATACTCTTTTTAACTATTACAACTTTTGCTTAAATATTGGGGAAAGATACTCTTGTTTATATAATGGTG